TTCAATGGCATCGCGATACGCAGCCACCGCTTCTTCAGCATTCATAAACCGCTTTCCTTTAAGTTTTTCTTTAATTTTTGGAAATAAATAAAAATCACAAGGCGCGAGGTCGGGGCTATACGGCGGGTGACCCAGTAATTCAACGTTTGATGTCGCCAAATAGTCGATCGTTCGCTTGGCGGTGTGCGACGAGGCGTTGTCGTGGTGAAGGAGGATCCTACTGCGAGGTCGTTTCTCTCGAACTTTTTCCAAGACAAGTGGCAAACAATTGGTAGTGTACCATTCTGCAGAAACTGTTTTTTGATCCTCTAACACAATTGTTGCAAAATGACCTATCCTTCCAAAGAACGAGGCCATCATTTTTTTTCCCGCACTTCGATCTCTCTTCACTTTAGTTGGCAACTCCTCGAAAGGAAACACCCACTGAGCAGATTGTCTTTTGGTTTTAGGATCATAACAGTAAATCCAGCTTTCGTCACCTGTTAGTATGTCGAACACAGCATTTGAGTCACCTCCGTTAAATCTTTCAATCATTTTACGACACCAATCCACACGATGGAGTTTTTGAGCCTCAGTCAAATTATGAGGTATCCACCGGGCGCAAAGCTTCCTGACCGCTAAATGTTCGTGGAGGATTTTGTGCACTTGACTCATACCGATGCCTAAGCTTGTCCGAATCTGTTGATAGGTCACTCTTTTGTCAGTCTCTATCATACGCCGCACAACACAGATGTTATCTTCAGTCGTCGCCGTAGAAGGCCGTCCCTCACGTAAATCATCAGTGAGATTAGTGCGACCACGTTTAAACTCATTAAACCAGTTGTAAACAGTCGCACGAGATGGGGCTTCATCGTGAAAGGCCAATCGTAGTCTATCATAACTTTCTTGTTGACTTAAATGACATCGAAAGTCATAAAAAATCATTGCACGAAAATTTTCTCGTGTTAAATTCATGATGACGTGACACAGACAATTTTCAATTTGCCGCCAAATCGTAAAACAAATGACAAATGAATGAAATATATACTCAGTAATATTGGCAAAGAGTTATATTTTCAAATTTTAGAATTATTTTTTTATTATATTGTTTATAAGTGGCCAGTTCTAAGAACTTTCAGTTTGACCCTCGTATATCAAAGGAGACGTCCTAATATACTGATTGACAGACAATGCACAGCCTAAACTAAGAACGGATTCTTGGAAATTCCACTCCGAAAAGGTTCAAAAAGGTAAAAGCGTTTCATTGAACCTTTTTATTTTAATATTTGGATAATTTAAGAACCTAGGAAGGTAATAGGTTTTATTTTATCCCGAAAACTAACACTTAATGGAATGAAAATGGGAGTGAAAGTTTTTATTGGGAATCAAAATGTTACCATAGCAACCATTGTTTACAATTTGATTTATCATTGTAATAAATTTATCTAAATTTATTAATAGAATTTTTTAAAATTGTTATTAAAATACATAATTGAAAACAAAAATAACATTGTAAATAAATATTTTTGAAAATATTCAGGTACAAATCATTTTATATAAGAAATAAAACTATATATTTTGTGATGTACTAGATGGCGTTAAGTATACTTCTATATCGTACTGTTTTGGTCAAGGTTGAGTTTTAAAATAAAATCAAGTAAGAATTTTGAACTTTGCTATACTGATGAGTAGCTCAGTGGCGTAGTGGATAAGCGCCGGCTCGCATTCGTTGTTGTTAAGCAACATCATGGGATAGGTGACCAAAAATTACTATCTCGGGCTACTCCTGAATAGGAAGGCACGTTAAACCGTTGGGCTCGGCTGCATTTAGCCAGCGTGAAGGGTCATGGATTTTAGAATCTTTTATTTTCTTTAACCAATCCATAAGGGAGGCCTGAGCCCTTGCTGTGGGCACGTAAAAGGGCTGATAATAGTGGTAATAGATGGTGTTTATTATTAACTGAATTGAGTAATCATTTCGTTTAAAAAAGCCCTGTGGGCTCTAGATTTGTGTTTTTCTTACCATCTGTATTTCAAATCGGATAAATAGCTTTAAAGTTTCCAGAGATAAAGTATTGTAACTTAATGGACATTAGTTGGTTGTTGGTGTACCTTATGTAAATATAGCTTTTTTCTGTAGTATTTTTTAAGTTGAAAATCAAAATGATTATATTTTGCTATTAATAAAATAAATATTTTAATAAATTAATATTTTTGTTTCGATCGTGATACTTGACAGAATTATATAAACTTGTGGCTTGTAGCACCATTTTCATATACGTTTTATTAACCCACTAATGTCCAAAGTGGTCTATATCAATGACTACAAAAACTGATTACTACTAAATCTTATAAATTATCGAATTTCAATAATGTAGTATGTATGTATTTATTTTAGCTAACGGTGACTTATCACAGCAATTTTTTACACATGAGCTTAAACAAAATATTCTGGTGTTTTCACCGCAGTATAAAAAAGTAAACGAGTAGATAAATCTGTGTCACCATTTGTGTTAGCTTTGCCCTGTCTCCTCTACAAATTAATGTCCTCAGAGCGACTGACGGCAGCCTGTTGCGTATATTCATTTGAATTACTACGAAATATGTAGAACATTCCAGAAAATAGCAGTAAAATACATAATGGATTATGAATCTAACCGACCTATATTTTAATGCGAGTTTTAATTATTTCCAGTTCAGCGGATAAGTTGGTTTACCGAATCACGGTATGTTTACGGACTTCCACTACAAACCTTTTCAAAGCATAAGCTAAATTAGGCCTTAAAAATAATGCTATTAAGTATTTTTATTGCTCAACGAACTGAATCAAAACATTCGTTGAAAATTACATTAAAACTGGTAGAGACAGCATGTTCAATTGAAGTGTGGTGAAAGTGAAGTGCATTATTACTCGACGTTATTTCGAATTGAATGGAAAACGCGCAAGGCAATATAATATTGGATATAAATTGCCAAGTATTGCAATTACCTACTGCGTCCAAATGTAGGTTGCTGTTCATCAGCGACCAACATTCGTATCTATAGTTGAAAGAAGTAATTACTTGAGAAAATGTCATAACTCTAAAAGGGTTCTGTAGCCTTTTCGAAATTTTCGATAAGAATTAAAATGAAAAAAAATGAGTTTTGATATTTTTTTCTATATGTCATAATAAAACAAAATGAAATATAAAAAGTGTACACTTACGTCCTTAAAAGAACCCGCATGCAAAATTTGAAACTCCTAGTACTTGTAGTAACGAAGATTCATACAAACTTTCATCCCCTAATTTTGTCATTTCGGGGGAGGAATCTTCAAAAATCCTCAGTTAATGCTCCTCTATACTCCCTAAGGAATCTTCATTCCAAATTTCAACGTTCTACGCTCAGTAGTTTAGGCTGTACGTTGTTGTCAGTCAGGCACTCAGTAACACAAGAATTTTATATATATAGATTGTCGGAGGCAAAAACAGAGACAGTCTTGTGCCTCGTCGTTAACGCCTCGTCTTAATAAACAAAAGGGCAGTTAATTAACAGAACGTATTGTGTAATTCATTGTGAAAACCGACAATAGGGATGATGACTGGGTAATAAAAATGCAATTCTATTTAGTCCGTCAGTCAGATAATAGAAAAATATTAGATACGTATTTTTTTTACTTCAATTTAACAGAAATAGCTTAGATAACAGGCATTAAAATTGAGGAGCAGGGGCTCGCTACGTCACAGATGAGTAGAAAACGTACCATAACGTGACGTCATGCGAAATTTCAACTCCATGTAACGCCGTAATTTTATGATTACGAAAAAAATACGTGTTTTATATTTTTTAACACTCTACCTGACGGACAAACAAACAAAAATTAGTCATCATCCCTATTAAATAGGTACATCAATCGTAACTATTAAATTTACAAATTCGATCCCGTGACCGTATCATCGTAAATAAAGTAAGCGCAACCGTATTAAATGGATTCTATTATTAAACCAATAATACGGTACCTCCGTTTGAGTTAACCATTATACATACAAGTCACTTAAGATTTTGCCATTTTAAATTAATATTTTGTTATCATTTGGGTCATAATATGAGTCTTATACATCAAAATCCAAAGAAACTCCTCTAATTTGGAAGATCATTTACAGTATTATAATTTTAATCTTAAACGTTAAAATGTTATTATACATCGACAAATTAGGTAAGGTTTGAATTGTATGATATCATCAAATTTAACTATTTGTTCTTGTATAGGTAGTATTTGTAGCAGAACTAGCTATTACCAAATTGAGTTCAACAAAAATAATAACAATATCGAAAGTAATACCAGAAGAAAGTTGCATTACTCAAACAAAAATAGTATATACAAGAGGAAAAGACGTATAAGAGCGATCTAGAACATCGTTTATGCTAACGGTACACCCACACATACGCGGGTCGATGCCCTCGCGGCTGTGTGCGGTGACAGGAGTTACAAACACGTGGTTCACGTTACATCACAATGTAAACATTGTGAAAAAGTTTGAAATAGTATAACTTGATTCTATAAATTTAAAAGTATGATATTTTATTAGTTGAGATGAAGAAAATTTTATCCCGAAAATGTCTATATTTAATAGGTACCATCATTGATATCTCGTGTTTAATATTAATCATAAAGGATATTTATTTTCTTCTAAAAAATAAATTGTTTTACACTCAACACTTCGAATCCTTTGCAGATTCCTTATTGACTAGATTAATATCGACAAGTACTGAAACCCATTCATATTAACATATAAAAAATAATTATATTGCCATGTTGTCACCAAAAACTTTTACTTAAATTTCATTTCTCCGAACGTTCACCGCTGCATTACGTAAACAAACAAATATTTTAATGCAAAACAGATATCTATCCGGTGTAACTGAACATGTCCAGTGACTCATATTTACCAGCCGGCATACTTTCCCAGTGTAAACAGTTACGCGCACCTGCCGATACCGCTGCAACTATTATCAATGAAACAAACCGGAGTGTGGAGTACATTCTCGAACGCTCGCCCCACGTCCACCGACGCTATATAAGACTGGAGACCGGCTGCATTCGTCAGAAGTATTACGAAAGCGCATACGAAACGCGAAGCGAAAGAAGCAAAGACTCAAAGCTATCAAAATGTACAAGTGTCTTATTTTAGTTGGACTTTTGAGTTTCGTCAACTGTGATGAGGCGAGAAAGCATAGAGTTGAAGATCCTTTAGCTTCTCTAGACCGCCATTTGACACATACACTCGCATACCACTATCTTTGGCCTTGGAGTCAGCTCATGAAGGCAGCGGCGGTGTTGGATACTGAGGATTATTTGGAGGAACCCCAAATTTTCTCGGATTCTAAGAGGTACGAAATCAAATTAAACGTGAAGAGATTCAAGCCGGACGAATTAAAAGTTATAGTGAAGAATCGGTACATCATAGTCGAAGGGAAACATAAAGTGACGAATGACGACACGAGGTTTATAGCGAACCACTTCGTTCAGCGGTTCGTGCTGCCTCCAGGAAGCAAGCAAGAGGAAGTGAAGGCTGTTCTGAATGAGAAAGGTGTGTTGAGCATTTCGGGACCAAAACATGAGTTGCCTCCACCACCTCCAGTACGCGAAATACCAATAGAAGTGTTGGTGCCCGAAAAGACGACGCAGAAGACTGAACTCCCGGAAAAAAATGAGGATACCACGGAAAAGAAAGACGTTCCCGCTGTTGCTACATCGACGGGTACTTCTTTTGAACAATTGGAACTGACCGAAGCGACGACACATGTCGGTAAAATTAGAAAGAAGGAATTGAAGACAACACCTAAAACTTCAAAAGACAACGAAGTCACAAAAGGGGGAGAGGGGAACGGTCTGGATTACGCCTTGATAGAAGCCGACGAGTGAGTGTAGTGGAAGCTGTTTATCAAAGACTGGACAAAGCTTTAAAACGGCCGGCTGTGAATATTATTGTTATACTTTTATCACAGTAGTGAGGTTATGCGCCTACGATGTCGGTCGCTCTCTGTGTTGCTGAGATTTACGAGGTTGTTTATTTGATGAATATTAAATGTTATTTATTGTAAGTAATCTCACTGGTTTCATTTGCCTGGGGTAATGCCCGGTAATATTACCGTTTTATGACACCATAATGTTTATGATGATGGTTAACTCGCACACATTTTATACGGCGGAGTGATTTGCTATGCTCATTAATATTTCATACTTGTTTTAGTATAATGGTCGAATACAATGAAAATAATCTTAATAATACCTAGATACCGGAAATGTGACAGAACTGAGGACGTAAATGGATTACATTAAATTACAACAATTTTGAATTGGCTATGAACATAAAGTAAAAATTAAAAGAAATGATTATTCAAAATTGGATAGTCTCATTTCTAAACGTAAACGTTAAAAAAGAAAAAGCATATACAGTAAAATACGGTTAAATTGCTCTCAAACTACTGGAAAATTTGTTTGTCAAAGTCGGACCCTTTACCTTCCAGATATTTGAGATAAGCTAATTAAGCCGTAAGGCTTTATTATTAAAAATAGACCAATATTATGATTATGTTTTTTAAGTATCCATTAATATATCATAAATTTGAATAGCTGCTTTCCTAAAAATATAGGTATTGGGTTAATCTATTTGGTTTATATTAATTTCATATTTTTACGGCAGAAATATTGCGTTGCAAGACTTCTGGATTTTTGTAAATGTTATATTTTTCATGGAATATTATAAAAAGGGAAAGATCTGATAGCATGTTTGCATTGAATCGACTCTGTAACTACTGGAAGTCGCTGGACTTTTTTTAAACTTCGCTGGATCGTTAACTTTCGGGTAGTATATGTCAATAAATTTTTACATAGCAAAAGTAGCATGAAATTAAAATAAGAGCTTTTGTTTTTTTTTAATACACAATTCTTTCAGTTATTTTGATTCCAACATAAAAGTATTGATCCAATTTTCATAAAACATTTATGGGACCACAAGTGTGATTTTTGAAATAGAAAGAATTATGTAAATCATTCGAAAAACTTGTGCAAACATACAATATGAACGAGCCTACCTACCTACTTTTTTAAGGCGGTTAAAGTTATTGCGTCAAAGAATCTCCCAGAACATAAAGTTACTCAAAGCACTACAAAACAATGCGTAACTATGCAATCAGCTTCTATTTGCTAACCACATCTTACCGCTGCGTAAGGAAGTTTTGTGTAAGTAATCGTGAGATTTTCTAATGTTTTAATGAATTATAACGATTTATACAATAGTTCTTTTACTATTCCCCACTGGTAATGATTTGATCGACTATTTCCGTTAGGGTTTGTTATAGTTTTTCTCAATGTAGATGCTATTAAAGGATATTATCCTAACAGGACTAGATGGCTTTAATTCTGCTAATGTGAAGCCAAATAGATAGATAGAATATTCTTTATTGTACATACAAAAACAAAATACACGTATACAACGAAAACAGGAGGCGTACAATTGGCGGCCTTATCGCTAAAACTTATCTCTTCTCTGGGAGAGAATACAGGGTAGTGGACGGTGTAACTGTAAACAATTTATAAACTTAGAATTATAGACGACTATTCATTAGTTATTATTTAATTTTTATAACAGACCTACATAACTATAATATAACAACAATTATTATATAAAATATAATATCTATATACATTTTTTCATGGACTCTCGAACACTTCTCTCATGAAGTGCTCTCTAACAAGGTTTCTAAATATATTAATAGAATTAGCTTTTCTAATCGACAACGGTAGCTCATTTCATAATCATACAGCGTGGACGGTAAAAGATTTATCTTAAAAATTAATGCAATGCGGGAATTTCTAAAATTCTTTTGACAAATTTGTGACGATTTTGATATAAGAAGGGATAGTGGGATTAAAACTGTACTAAATAACATTTTTAAAATATATACATTCCGGCGAAATCGAATAGGCAACCAATTGAGCATCTCACGAAATTCGGAAATGTGATCATATTTGAGTAATACGAATATAAATCATATGCAACTTCTGAAGCCCCGCAAGCTTGTCCGGTTGCATTTCTTTAAGGTCAAAAGAGCTGATATTGGCATAATAAAGAATGGGCATCAAAACAGATTGTATAAGCGCAATTAGAAAGAGTATTTATCCTATAATATATTTGTGCTATATTTTTGGACTACATAGATTTGTAATAGAATAATTTATTTGCAAAAGATAAAAAGTAAGAAAGCTGTATGTAACGGCAACACATTGTCTTTACAGAAATCTAGCAAACACTCTCTAAAATATGATATCCTAAATTTGAACATTTAATTATGAATTGTAAAGTTTTCTAAAAAACATTTCTGTATCATAGTTTCATCATCTTGCCTTTTCTCATTTATGACGATCTAAAACTTATGTTTTTACAAATTATGCTGCCATCTATGCTGAGCTTTGTGTGACATTCTCAATTTTTTGAAAAAAAAAAAAAACATGTATCTGCTCTTGGTCCCTGTAGGTATCTCCACCAATCATACTTCAATAAATAATTTACATAAAAAATTAATAAAGTATTCACAAAACATTTCAAATCATTCTGTTACCTGATGAAAACGATTTTACGACGACGAAAGAAATTTATAATACATACCTGACTCGACTACGCAAGGAATATTACTAGAACCTTCGAGATCGAAACAGACACATCTAGTGATGGCTTGGTTTACCACCGCCATCTGTTAGAAAGGTACGAAACGTTCAACTAATGACAACCATTTAACGGAACCGTAGATTCATTTATTAAAACCATAGATATAATCCAATATTAAAACCTAATACATAGTGGAATCAAAGAAGTAAGGAGACTTCATACCGACAGAGACACCGAGAAACTATGTGAGCGTTTTCTTGCGTATGCGCAGTCACACGTTACAATATTTATTACCGATTTATTAATTGCAAAAAAAAATGTATTTCTTTATATAACATAACAATGTGTTACTTACTACCGCAACGATCATAAAGTAGAACAATCAAGGAAGGCGTCCAGGAATCAAGCTATAAAAACGAATTACCAATTCGGTGAAATTATTGCTCGTGCCCAACAAGCGGACAGACCAGGGCGACAACATTGTATTTTAACGTCACAACATTAAATTACTTTACGATGTGTAATTACGGCTTGATATCTTAGTTAAGTGAAAACATAGAAATTTATTGTTATTTACAAAAGTACAGTTTCATCATTTAAAGTCATATTTTTTATACAAGCAGCAGTGCTTTTTTGTTAACCGCCTCGAACTTGACGTCGAGTACAACGCTGTCATAACGTAGAGGTTAAATCAAATAAAAACATACTTCATAATATAATAAAGGTTGCAGTTGCTCGTCCTCTTCATAATCAATTGTGAGAGTGTCATTCGGGTGTCTTTTTAATTCGTACAACTTATATGTTTGTTATTTTGCGATCTAGTAACAAGAAAAAGAACTGTGTCAAAAATAGTTGTTATTAAACCGCCATTGGCTTACCATATTTGCTTTCATATATAGAGATAGAATATTCTTTATATTCTATCTATATAATGAGATGCATAAAAAAATAACAATTATTTGAATGGTGTTTATAAACAGCTGTTCATTCTTCGTGCTGGTGCTGCATACCGGGTGCAGAAAGTAGCAGTACTTTGCGTCTTATTATTGCGTACTTCTAAATGTCAAAGAATTTCACATAAAATATCAAATTAATTTAGTAACAAGTTCTCCGAAAGAAGAGCTATGATAATAACTTGGATACTGTGGGATGTGCTCAATAATAGATGTGAGTACCTATTTTAAGGTACTCATCCTTGAAGATAGATTAGGACACCCCTAGGAGAGTAAAGCGCACGGTCTACTGGGACAAATCAAGCGATTTATCACTCGTTCATATTGCTTCGATTTTTACAAAACAGATATTCGGCACTAATAAATAATAATAAGTTAGTATAAATAATATTAGTATAAATAAGTGTCTACATATTTTAATGAAGTCATTTTTCAATCTTGACTCTCTCTATGAAATAAAACAGGGAGAAAAAAGCCCTTGCTGAGTTTCTTGCCGGTTGTTCTCGGTACAAGGTCTCCCGCCGTAGATTTACGAACCGATGGCGTAGCTCTCGACTTTCACAAGTGCTTGTAATAGCCTAGACTGAATAAATGATTTTGATTTTCGATTTTGAAACATTATATAAACAGGTACCTATCTAAGAAAATGGAATAATACTTTTGTAAATCAAAATTTTATTATGTTTACAAATGCCATAAAACTGCATTATATTATAATATAAAGTACGGTAACACTTCAAAATGCACATATTATTATAAATATCATGTCAGATAAATATTCACTTTGAATAACAATATCATAATAAAGTCAAAGTCAAAATAATCTTTATTCAAACAGACTTCTTAAAAGTACCTTTCAAGCATGCAATTGTTTTTCCTTACCACCCGTTGAGGAAGTCTTTTGGCTGATAATAAAAACGAGCAAGAAACTCACCAGCTCTAATGGGAGTAACGACATTCACAAAACCATATTATTACCAGTAAGACGTTATATCAATTAATAGATAACGTTTATAGGATGAGCCTGTAATATAAATTTTCTATTTTTTTGGAGTACAATAATAATTATAGCTTTTAAGTTTAGCTGGTAGACAGTGACCCGGCAGCTCCCAGTTTCGTAACGATCATACGGTAATAGGTTAACTATATAGATAACAGTCCCCTGTCTCCTCGCGGTCACCTTCGGGTAAATATGTATGTAACATATAATACCAACAGTATATAGAGGTAATTATATTTACTTACGTCAGAAAGAAGGATATGTTTGGATTGTCTAAAAATATCAATATTACTAAAAAGCATGAAATAAAACCAAAAAAAATAGAACCGACTTTAAACTTTACAAAAGTGATAAACAAGACTTATCTCAAAAGCGACATATTCAAGAAAATGGAGTGGGACGAAGGTTTTCTTTAGGTTTATAAATTAAAAGTAAAGTGATAGGCGTCCATCTTCAAAAGCAAATTCTTGAATGAGAATATGAGATAAGTATTATTTATCACATTTTTAAAGGTTGAAATCGGTTCTACTTCTTTTTAGTTTTTATTTTATGCTTTTTAGTGATATTGATATTTTTTATATAATAAGTAACACTAAAAATATTTAATACTAGCTTTCCTAATTAATATTCGATTATTTAATAGTTAATTAGCTTATTTAATACTAGATTTTGCATTCACAATGTCATACTGAGAAGCCCGGATTGCAAAAGGTCGTGGGTTCGATTCCCATCTCAGGGTGCCAGGGACCAAGTGGATTTTTTAAGCATTTTGTATTAAGAATAATTTTCAGTATGGCAATGTGAATGTAAAATCAATCAAAACTATAATAAGAAGATTTTTTTTTACTCGACATAATTTTGCAAATAATTCTATACTCATATTATAACTGTTTGTATTTTTGCATTGGATAGGCTCCGAAACTATTGGACCAATTTATGAAATTATTTCATCTATGGGAAGCTACTTAATACGCGTTGGACATAGGTTATAATTAACGATGGCGAAGTCGCAGGGAAACAGCTGGTTTGAAACACAGAAATTGGTTCACAATTCAAGAAGAAAATAGATTGACATACCCACTTTCATAAAAAATAAACATACTCCGTGAATATAGAAAAACCTCCTTTCGGATTTTGAATGAATTCAAAATACGCAATATTGTGTTTTTAGGTGAAATAAAGAAAAAAAAAACAGAATATGAACTTTTCTATTGTCTCGGGTTTCAGTGTTGTGATACCTTCGCTGTTTCAGATACTCCATAATAGGGAGGCTTTAGCTAATCATCTTGGAATCTGAACAATGTATGTGATGTTGTCTAATATTAAGTCATTATTTATTAATTAATCTTACATGATTTAGTGATGTTTTTTTATTTGTAAAACACGCTAAGTTAATATTACACGAGCTTTTTTAATAACCGAAAATGTTATTAATTATATTTTTTTTAGACTCTTACATATTAATTATCAACTTTTTTTTATTATTCTTACGTGGAGAATGGAGGGGTTAAAAACTGGAAAAGTCGTCTAAAGTAATAAATGGGTGACGTTACTCGAGCTACTAGAGGGCCTACTTAGGCAGTTTATACTGTTTTTGTCCGGCTAAAAAGTTGTATAGATGCTTTGGAATATTATACAGGTCTCTAATTATTACTATGCGGGATTTTATTTTTGTAATTTTTAGACGTAACACTTTTAGTTGTGTCATGAAATGTTGAAGGAACTTAATTTAATTGACAGATCAAAACGGAAACGATGATCCATGTCACCATCTTTTACCGCTACAGCTTCTGAGGGGCTCAGCTTTACTATTTTATAATAAAATCGGCCTCGAGCTCGACGTTCGAATAGGTACACGATCACAGCGCTGTCAAAACGTAGAGGTTCAATCAAATAAAAAATTTATTGCTTTTAAAAGTAGGTTTCTTTTTATTGAATGTCTATTATGATAGGGTCATGTTCGGAAATAATATGAGAAATATTTTTTTGCATCATGTTTTTGTCAAGGAAATGAAATAATAAAATGGTTTTGCAGTATTCAGATATTTAAAAGTTTATTAATCTCTTTGATTACAAATATTCCACAAAAAACAGACTGCAATGACAATTTTGTTTAGCCAACTTATAATACGACTCATTTATTTTATTTCGATTTTGTCAGTCGTGGTTTGTGATTTTTAAATAAATTATATTCTATTTATCCCTTTCAGCGACCAGTTGACTATGTATACAAGTATTTATATTTTTGTAACGTTAAAAAAAACCTTATATTAGGGACCCGTACTGTTATAATAAAAGAAAATAATATTTTTCTTATTTAAAAAAAAAATTGAAAAGCTATTTTTCTTATTCTTAAATGGCACCATACATTCGCCTTATTGAATATTTATTATAAATATAGGTATACATAAACTTATATTTCATTCATATCCGATGATGTCTTGCAAAGTTTTAGTGGAATAAATAAACTCATATATGTGAGTTACCCTAATGCAATACACATCTTTTTCGGGCAGTCGTATAATAACTGTAAATAAGTATTAGAAGTATTAAAAAATATAAGTACATAATTTTATTGTTTGCTGTGATCTGCGGAGAGGCACTCAAATTATGTTCTTTAAAAGGAATCTAACTAATAAATTAGATTTGAATACCGAATAATTTACTAAATTACCTACTTACAAAATACACATTATTGTATGCTACTTAATATGGTCAAAGTTCTCACGTCTTAAATTACATCTTGTCTAATAATTAATCTATTTATTGTCATTACAATTTATTTATCTACTTAAATAACTATAAATTTTTAAGTAAATATATTTAGATAAAAAATAAATAATTGAGATTAAGTTACACGATATAAAACAGATGACTTTCAAGTTTGTCCTTAAAACTCTTCATAATATTGCTAACATAATACACTTTTCAGGTTCTCTTGTAAGATTTTATTGAATATGAGCCGTCTGCATCATAAATACGTTTGTTATCTTCCGTCTCGTACTCGCCGTACGTTGGTTTGCCATAACCGTGATAGGGTTGGTCGTATCCGTGATACGGTTGGTCATATCCATGATACGGTTCCTCGTATCCGTGCTGCTCGATTTCATGATGCTCGTATCCGTGATAACCGTGATGGATCGGCTCCGGTTGAATGTACTCAACGTGTTCTTTCTTTTGTTTTAAATGATGTATGAACCATAATACGAAATGCCATCCTTTTGATAGAAGCGCGAAGAATATTATTCCGTAAACTATCTTCAGGATGAAGAATTTTGCAGCGGCGACGTAGAAGAAGTGAACTGTGAACGAGTGAATAAAAAGCACCGTCATCATAACATGCGATTGTTTGTTTATAATATTACTTCCAAATAATTTACACACCTATTTCCCTTTTCGCCTAAACAACTTCATAAACGAATCCAACATACTCTCATTATAAGGTAACTCAGGCTTCTGTGCAAAGTTATTAAAGTCTCCGTAATAGGAATGAACGAAATCAGTATTTTTATAATGTGGCCATGCATCAGGGACATATTTAGAGATGGCTAATGCCCACGCCATCACTACCAGAGTCTTTATACTGACGATGACCAATGCAATCCCGAGGAATATCTTGTAAAGTCCGACTTTCACCGCAAATAATATCGCCAAATTGGCTGCAATAGACAAACACTAAAATTAGCATCTAACAGCCTAACAGTTTACAACGTTTTTCCTGGCTAAGATGAAAATTGTATTATTGTTAGGACCACTCATAACATCTAAGCTTTACGCTACTAAGCTTCATCCAGACGATTGCAAGTCTCTAGAATGCAGATGACTAAATCACAATACAAAGTAGCAGCGCCTTAAATTACAATTTAAAATATTAATTGAATTAAAACAAATATTACCTTATTATTATATGCTTTTTATGCAGATTTATTATTTATGATTTTTCCTAACAAAGATGGCTCTAATTTTATCAGCTCGTATTATCTGTTGTTATTAATTACACTTGTAAAATAATATTCTCAGACATTCAATACTTATTGTTACTCAGATCACAAAGCGAGGGGCACTCACAGTAACTCAAAATACGAATTCAATACATAAAAGATAAAAGGTAAAGATGCGGAGATTATGAATGAGAAGTACTTACTGAGTAGAGCGTATTTCGTTTTGCCTCGCGCTTCGATAATTTTGTTTTCTTCCTCTGAACAATTTACGGAACACACAATGAGAGCAACTAAAATGATGAAAAAGTTTCTATGTCCAATATCCTTCATGGTGAGAAATGAAAAAATAAAATAAAAAAATATATATTAAAAATCAAATAATCGTGTTCGATATTCAAAACGGAGATTCCAAAGGTGAACGCTACATAACTGTCAGTGATAAAATGGCGCGCTGGCATTTCAGTTTTAGTTAGTTCGCCGTAACGTGTAAATTAAAGTGATAATGGACTGAGAAAGTGACATTGAATAAAGTTATGTTACGAAAATTTTCACGTAAAACAAACTGAAGAAAGTTGTTTTGAAAGTATTACGAAACCCTATACAAAAGACAAATCACTATTGCAATGTACCTACTTAGATTATATGTTGAACTTACCGAACACAATTTTGTGACCCAACACGTAATTGACCTCAAGCCTAGTGACTTGATTATAAATCATACAGTATTATTTTGCACAAAACAATGTTGTCAATGTACAGAACACTGTTTAAAATATTTTTTTCAATTCTTGATACGAAGCGATAATATAGAAATGGGCTGTATTCAATGAAATATCTCCTAATTGTGTTTCTTTATATATATCCCAATTTAAAAACTGAAACATGAGATACAAAAAAGTTACAAACTTATCTGGCATAAAAAGAAGTAGAAATGTTCAAAAACTTGCCTAAAATGATTTAAATTTCCATATCGCCGATTTGGCGATCTGCTACCTTAACTAGAATTAGAGATCACTTTAAACGGGTAGGGCAATCATCATTAAATTTGGAAATAATGAGCAGTTTGCTTTAGGAGTTATATGATCTTATTAGTATAGAGGTTGTCGGTATATCGACAATATTATCGATAAACATTACGAGAGAAATATAATAGGGATGATGACTGGGTAAAAATAATGCAATTCTATTTAGTCCGTCAGTCAGATAATAGAAAAATATTAGATACGTATTTTTTTTACTTCAAATTAACACGAAATAGCTTAGATAACAGGCATTAAAGTTGAGGAGTGGGGGGTTCGCTACGTCACAGTTGAGTAGAAAACGTACTCTAACGTGACGTCATGCGAAATTTCAACTCAATGTAACGCCGTAATTTTATGATTACGAAAAAATATAAAAATATGTGTTTAATATTTTTTAACACTCTACCTGACGGACAAACAAACAAAAATTAGTCATCATCCCTATTTCACATCAGTCTATCATATTTAACTATTTATGAAACTGTCTATTCAGAATATAATTTTTGTATTATATATTTCAATTACTTAATTAACTGTTGTTATGGGTTAATTGGACACTGGAAATCAGATTTTAATACAAAAAAAAAAAGATATTTTTTTCCTGTATTTTGTCATTAATTCTCGATTAGAAAATTCAATGAATCGTAGTCTAAATTCAACACACTTTTCGTATTCCAGTTTATTTGATAACTTAGTACGAATATCCATTGTCATGTTTATATTTATGAATTTTTAGAATTCGAATCATTGAAATATATACGATGCGGAAATTTGAATTATTTAATATCTGTATACTTGTCTATACTATCTATAGTAATATTATAAAGAAGAAAGACTTGATTGTTTGTTTGTCTGTTTGTTTATTTGCAACGTCAAACTTATTCGTGAGGGCTGGAAGGCAAATATTAAGCTGAGATCCGGGGCGGGATTTGTATAATGATTAAAAATACTTTAGAGGCAAAATCAGTACCTTCTGTTTTAGTTATAGCTGCAGATTGCTATTTGAATTTTGCGGCATTGAAGTAGTAGGAGTAGGGCTTATAATAGAAAATATTTACAGAATAACTGTTCAAACAAAGTCACACACAAGTATATTTTTACACATATTGGATAAACTTCTGTTTATTTACAACTAAATATACTCGTAATAACAAAAGAATAGTGCTGTGCGGTGACTGAAACATTAATATTTTGAAACAAAACACAGCTAATTACTGATGATTTATTATATACACTTCATAATTATGGTCTGAACGTGCATATAATTGAATCTATGAGAAAAAAACTCATGTATTGACCAACTTGCAAGTAATTTTAAATCGGTAATCCTTAAAATTAATAAAAGGCTATTACATCATTAAACAGCTCAAACAATTCGATTAAAAGTAAAAAATAAACAAAAACACCGCTCTTCTTGCTTTGAAGAAAGACGTGACTATAACAACTACATCGTGTTTAAATCTTGTGTATGTGACAAACATTTTTTTATGAATGTGACGAACTTTCTATTTCGGACGTTTTGAATGCTAATTTTTCGATGCTTTCCAGGTTTTAAGGATATAATGCGCTATTTTACGACCTTTGTTCCCATCATTAAAGTAAAAAATAATAATCATTCAAATAAACTGATCCATTACACTGGTTAATAAAAAAAAAAACTATTTGCCTCGTAAGTGTTATTTTTTCATACCTTAATATGATATCACTTAAAATATGTGTGTCAAAAATAAGAAACACCCAGCTTCTTCGGAAAATATGTTTATTCAAAAAAAAAAAAACAAATATATGATGATGAGAGAAATACAATATGTCAAAAATTGTCGCGCTTTGGTGGCCAAGCTTATTAAAAATGTTCCTGTAAAAAATCGAATATACAGTGTTTTACTAAAAGATGTACCTGTAAGAAGCGTTCAGTGCTATGTGATTTTAGATGTCATGATTCCTCTTCTTGTCTGAACAAAAATTAAAAAATATTTTTTAAGAAACCAGAATCTCAACATTGTTGATAAGAAATAAAAATATCTCAAAACTGTTGATTAACTATAAAATTTTTAATGTTTGATTACATAGTTTTAATTGTATTGTTATTGTTATTTAAATTCCAAAAAATATGATCGTTTTAATTATAATTGAAATAACTTTAATACGTGTTAATGTCACAAAGTATTGTAACTAACTGCAGGATACATAAAGTTGATTTTTTAATAAAGATAAAACCAATATAATATTGTTTTATTTAATTATATATGGTAGATTTCTATTTCATTAAGCTAAATCAAGTAATATATTTATAACACTGAACTTAATCTAGTAATATAAGTATATCACTAAACTTGGACTGCTTTATAACTATATTCCTAGTGAGATAGTAATGAATCGCTTCCGTATAACTCTGTTACGGTATATAATTATATCCCTAGGGATATAACTATATTACGGCTTTATCTATCTTACTGCGACATACATATATACGATTCTTTAAAACACAAACTTGTACAAATAAATTAAAAAAGTCGTCACGAATGGAACCCGTTGGAAAAGTACTAGAAATTTAACAGAGTCAACTGTTATAGTAGAATTAAGTGATAATAACCCAATGATAACGAACTGAAAATATGCACAGATATGAGGTACAAAAGAGTGTAAAAGATAAGAAGAATGCGTTTAAGGAATGGAAGGACACTGAAAGCGATGATGAGGGTATGAAAAAAATGAAAAAGAATGTATACAAGAAAACAAAGAAGAACGCGAAGAAGGCTATTGCTGTTACAAGGGCAAAAGTGCAGGATAAACTGTACTCATTCCTAGAAAAACCACAGGGTCAGAAAGCATTGTACAGGATAGCCAGAGAAAAAGAGAAGAATGCAAGGGATATTGGGCATGTGAAGTGTGTGAAAGATGAAGGAGGAAAAGTTTTAACTGAGGATAAGTATATTAGAGAGCGTTGGAAGGGATATTTTGGTAAACTTCTGAATGAGGAGAATGATTGGAGTGGAGTGCTAGAAAATGTCCAAGTAAATATAGGAATGGTTAAGGAGGTGAGTGTGGAGGAAGTGAAAGCGGTAGTACGAACTATGAAGATTGGAAAGGCACCAGGCCCAGATGCTATACCAGTGGAAGTTTGGAAGTTTCTGAAAGTTGATGGATGGAAGTGGTTGACTTTATTCTTCAATAAGTTGTTACAAGAAGAGGTGATCCCTGACGAGTGGTGCAACAGCTTGCTGGTGCCCATCTACAAAAGAAAGGGTGATATACAAGACTGTAACAACTATCGAGGAATTAAGCTCATAGCGCACACGATGAAGATTTGGGAGAAAGTAATAGAAAGAAGAATGAGAGATGAGAGCGAGGTGACCCAAAACCAGTTCGGTTTTATGCCTGGACGAGGTACGACGGACGCCATATTTGCACTTCGCCAGCTATGCGAAAAATATAGACGTGCACATAGAAACTTACACATGGTATTCGTTGACCTTGAAAAGGCATACGACAGAGTCCCTCGGAGTGTGTTATGGTGGGCACTGACCGTGAAAGGTATACCAGGTAAGTATATAAGATTGGTTAAAGCGATGTATGAAAGAGCAAACACTCGCGTCCGGTCGGAAGCCGGATTGACCGACCAGTTTGATGTAGGCGTCGGGGTGCACCAAGGGTCGGCTTTAAGCCCTTACTTGTTCCTTCTAGTAATGGATGCTCTGACATCAGACATACAGGAGGAGGCACCTTGGTGCATGCTTTTTGCTGATGATATCGTACTGGTCGGAGAAGATGCACTCGAGGTCCAGATCAGGTTGGGAAAATGGCAAAAGAAACTGAAGGAGTTCGGTCTCAAAATCAGCAGAACCAAAACCGAACATCTGTTCTGCGATTTTGGTGGAACCTCCGGTTTCCAAAACATTGCCTTAAATGGTGTAACCTTACCAATCTGCTCCGACTTCAGGTACCTTGGGTCATTAATACAAAACGAGGGCGATATTGACCGTGACGTGAGGAATAGAATAAATGCGGGATGGATGAAATGGCGAGAGGTCTCAGGAACGATATGCGATCCACGAATGCCCCTTAAACTTAAGGGGAAAATCTATAAAACGATCGTAAGACCTGTCGTACTGTATGGTTCTGTATGTTGGGCTACAAAAGGGACGGATGAAAGGCGAGTACATGTGGCAGAGATGCGAATGTTGAGATGGATGTGTGGAGTGACGCGAATGGACAAGATTAAGAATGAGTACGTAAGAGGAAGCCTGAAAATTGCACCTGTGACGGAGAAAATGAGGAGTAATCGACTAGCGTGGTATGGGCATGTTATGAGAAGGGACGAAAGTCATGTTACGAAAAGAGTGATGGGTATGCATGTGGATGGATATGTGAGTAGAGGCAGACCGAAGAAAAGATGGATCGACTGTGTGAAAGAGGATATGAATAAGAAAGGTGTGGATG